TATTACATTTTTTGAAAATAAAATAAATTTATATACAATAAAAATACAAATCACAAATAAAATGAAAGGTTGTAGAAAGAAGAAAAATTCTTATTTGCGCCTTTTTCTTCCCAAAATTAAAATTTTAAACAATAATAACCTAYAAACAAGAAAAACTAAACAAAAACAACCTCAGATCCTTGTTGAGTGTCAAGTAAACCTCTATGAAATATTTAAAACTGAAGTTTTAAGACTGCAGCAAACTACTTTGATCTGGGCACAGCTAAAACTATCCATCAGCTCATCAGTCCAGTCAGAATTAAACTCTTGTTTGATTTTAATCCACCTAAAGGTAAATGTGAAGCTGTGCAGGTAGCAGTGGAGTGTGTGTTTACTCTGCTGACAACATTCCTTTGGGTGAAGCTCTGAAGCCTTGTTCTGTGTAAATACAGCCACTCTGTAAACCTCTGGAGTGTTTGTGGTGCAAATGTTCGTATTTACACAGGGATGACTTGCTGCTCCTCATTACTCACCAACCACAACCTGTCATGGATCAATGCCCTGTTCAGTCACTACTCTTTAAAAGTGCTGCTTGTGCCCAGTTCACATGGCAAAGTTATAATGCCAATTTATACCTTATCTGACAATCTTAAGGACGTCCCAATTCTCATGATGGCTCTAAACGTAATCTTAGGAGAAATTCATGCTGTGTGTTGTGTGTTTGGAGTGATCTAGGCAGCTTGGAAGGACACCGGGATATTATTACATTATAATCGGGGATATTTAACACGTTGGATTATCTTCCCGGAAATCTCAGCGGTGGTGTTTCCCCGAGGTCAAACGCCTGTTATGTTATGTGTGACGTGTAGMTGATCAAAAAGTGAAGTGACGGAAACATGGAGGGTCCAAATGGAATCCAAAATACAGAAGACAAAACAACTGCCATGGAGCACCAGAAATTCTGGTGGTTGTTTAAGACGTCTTTTTGTTTTGTCTCTGTTAAAAATAGTCCACAAATTATCACCCTCGCTTCTTCCTCATCAGCCATGTTTATTTACTCTGAACTCACGTTTGATCTTGAGAGGTTTCACGAGATTTACCATCTGACATCTGAATGTTGGCGAGTGAAATCTGTTGGTGTGTGTTTGTACACCACACACTGTAGGACCAAACCTCTTATATCTACGATTTTATTGTCATCATGTGTGGGCCTGTCCTTCTGCTGGACAGGGTTGGGCATAATCGTATCATGTGCAATTAATCATCAGAAAAACATTGATCGGTTATATTTTTGGCACTTGACGATTAATACGATTAATGCCACCAGGCAGACTGACTGGGGATTACTCCAGTCAGTCTGCCTGGTGCTCCTCTCCAGTTCAAATATGATGAACATTAAAAAAATAATAATTTCTGTAATTTATTTATCCATCAACACAATTTAGAATTTGATGTATAGCCTGAAGTCTATTTTTTACACAATTTGGAACAGTTTTTTATGAAGAGCAAATCTTTCCCACTAAATTTATCATGTGACTAGGACGGGTGTCCAGAGACTCCAGGGCATTAATCGTCAAATTAATCGTTATCAGCTAAAAACCACAATTAATTGGGATTAAAAATCCCACCCACCCCTCTATCCCTTCTTATGAATCTTACCAAAGTTTATGAACTTTAGGTATGTTTAAAAAAAAAGGTCCACACTGACCTGGACCAGAGATTGTGAAAACAAGGCACCACACCTGCTGAAGCTGTAAAATCCCTTTCAACCTCCTGACCTACCCGAYGCCACAGTTCACTCCTCCCTATCCTAAGGAGTAGAAAAGAGGGAGACACAAAGAAAACAAACAAGCAGGCAAATGAAAATTATTGACCTCGCTTTTTGCGGCAGGTCTTGTCATGTTTGGGGTCTCTGTCTTTGAAAATCAACCAATAATTTTAAGATCTTGCCATGTGAACCAGGCATTAGTTGAATGATGAGTGATTGAAGAACAAATGGTCCTCTGTGTGCCGGTTGATGCTCCTGTGTGTTTAAAACAGGATGCATGCTAGTTGAGAGTAGTTTGCATGTTGGACGTCCAGCAGGAGCAGCTTTATGCCTTTAAGTGGAAGAAACACAACCAGGGGGCGGGGCTTTAATGAGACGGAGCTTGTTTCGGGATACAGCGCTTGTTCCCTGTTATGATCTATCTTTGAAGTGGAAGAAGTGGAAGGATAACTTATCAGAGGTCACACAGGACCCTGCCTCTATCACATCTCTAAAACTAAACCTCAAACATAAGTCGTGTAACGTCCCGACACTCTGTTTTCTAAGGATTGAAGTCTTTGGAAAAGAGAACCTGTTTTCTGCTCCTGCTTCCTCCTCTTGAACAAGTCGGGTTCAGGTGGAGGTGATAATCAGGAAGGACTCTGGCACTCCCCTGCTCCAGGGCGTGGAAACAGGTTAACCATGGAGCAGAGATAACATCAACGCACCTGCTGCAGCAGTGCCATTTCCTGGTCCTGAGACACAACAGAGCCACTGTAGGAACCTAGGAAACCTAACCCCAGGCCAGTGGATCTATATTGTAGCAAACACCCCGTCAATTATTAACACACTGGTGCTCTCATTCCTCGGATGTAACCATGGCAGCCAGCGGACTGAAACTCAGCCAGCAGACTAGGACCTGCCGCTGCCCTGTGGGAAAGTTGACCAAGGAGACACACATTCTTCTGACACAGGGAGCAAATGGACCTCTCTGACTTTATGTACCTTTCACAAAGGGAATACCTGAGGATACGCAGATCCGATCTGGACCGATGAGGCCATTGGATGTAGCAAATTTATTTTTCTTCCACTGCTGCATTTAATTTCTCTAGTTTAGCTGTCTTCTTGTTTTGTTTTTTTTGTTTTTGAATCCATATCAGGGGATTTTTGGTCCCGGACTGATTTGATTAGCGAGCGTTTTCAAAAAGGAGAAGACGACGACTTCAGTGCTGAAATCATGAATCTGAGGCAGCGAATTAAACTGCTGAAACACTTTGGCTCTGAGCCCCCGGAGCCAAAACCCCCACTGCTGGTGGTGCCTGTAAGTCAATGGATTCAGCTAAAATAGATTAGTTTGGTACCAGTTTGAGATCTCTGCATATTTATGTCTTTGTTCTCACTTCTATTCCATCCAAACAGTTTTCAAATCAGTAACTTAGTAGATTATTTGAACTTAATTCACAGGAATATATTATTACTTCATTTATAGAAACCCCATGCAATTATTTGCCAATCAAAACTTCAAAATTAAAATATTTWAATATATTTTCTCAAGTGTTTCAACTTATTAATAGTCAAAGGGGCCAGTAATGTGATCAGATAGGTGCTATTATTTTATTCACCCTGACTATCTCTGTTATTTATGAAAGCATTAAGGCTGATAAATCACATTATACACCTGAAACTCACAATCACTTTGTATTTTTCTGCTAATGTCTGCCCAGTATGAGTTGAGTCTATTCATATTTGACTAAAATAGTCATAAATTGACACAAAACAAGAAGGAAAATATAATCAATGTGAATTTTTTTTTATTTTAACTATAATTTAGTTCCTGCTGCTGTGTTTTTCAGAACTTTGCATGTTCAAGAGTGTTGGAAGAGGCTTGGCTATCCTTTGCATTTATTTTAAAAGCAAAACATTCCTCCAACAGTGTTGTGGTTTTAGGATACAGCTCAGTCTTTTGCACAAAGCAGGTTAATAAATGATCAAGGACATGCAATCAACTAGAAATGAGAAGAACTTGAAAATAAACCAGTAGAACCAGAAGGAAATATGTTTCCAAAATAGCTAAAAGATAAATAAATAAATGAATTAACTGAAGGGCCATTAACAAGCTTTTGGCTGTTTGTTGGTAGATAACTGTAAACAGAGATGTATGGAACAGTTTCTATAGTGAACTGGAGAATTTGGAATTTCTGCAAAAATACATGCTGCTGAAAGATTTTTACAGAAAAAAAGATGCATTTTCAATTTGATGTAGTACAGCTAAAAAAGGTGAAATTAGCAAAAAAAAAAAGGTACCCAAGAAAGCTGAATCTATGAAAGAATAAAGAGCATGTTTGCTGAATTAGGCTGTAAGAAGCTGAAACTCACAAAAATGCTCATTAAGCTGAAAAAAGTTCAAACGTAGCTTAAAGGGATCCCTGATTAGTTGTAACATTAGACTTTATTTGATAAACATTTATTTTAACTGTAAAATAAAGACTGTAAAAAATACTGTAGGCTGTTTAGTTTTTATATTTTTTAAAAATATATTTTAACACAGACGGAGCCATTTTATTTACATGCAAAGCATTCTGGGTAAATGGTGACATGGATAGGTCCTCTGTGTGGTAGCAGCCTCGCACCGAGGACCCATCCACRTCATCATTTACCCAGAATGCTTTGCGTGTTAATAGAATGGCCCATCTGTGTAATATATTTTTAAACCTTTAGTTTAAAAATTATAAAAACTAAACAGCATACAGTATTTTTACAGTCTTTATTTTACAGTTAAAATATATGTTTATCAAATAAAGTCTAATGTTACAACTAATCATGGATCCCTTTAAATTGCAGCAACAGCTGAAAGAATGATCAAAAGCTTAAATTAGCAGAAAGAAGCTAAGCTAAACACAACAAAGCTTAATTTAAAAAGCTGTAAAGAGCAAAAAGATAGCTGAAAACAGAGAAAAAAAGCTAAAAATTTGCTTAAAAAGGCTGAAATGAAGTTAAAGCAAAACTGATGGTGAAAAGCGCAAAAAATGGTTTAACTATTTAAAAGGATTGAACCAAATGTTTGGTATGTTGAAGATTGTTCCATTTGGTGAGAACAAAAAATTGCAGAAAAAGCTAAATATCTCAAAGTATAAATGGCTTAAATACCTAAAGTCATAGCTGGAGTGTCCTGAAGCAGCTGAAAGTTTTGAAACATGAATTGTTGAAATGGCACCAAAATTAGAGTTAGATGCTAAAAAAATGTACAAAAGAAAAATGGATTAAAAATATTAGATGAGYACTGAAAGCATGGAGTCTTGTTCTTTTGTCTCAAGTTTCTGTTTTTTCAAATTTTGGGAGTTGATTTTTCCAATAACTTTAATAATCCTCATAGTTCAGCTGGATAACAGATTTTTACTGTTTTCATTTCTGTGTGCTGGGAGGTTTTTAAGGCAGTGCAGCTCCACCTTAAATCCACTATCATCAAAGACTCCGAGTGGGCAAAGTCCGGAGTGGGGAGGAGTTCTCCCCAGGTGAGGTCTCCTAGACGTTCTTCTATTGTTGCTGAGAAACACGGAGCTCGTCAAATAGGGAGGGGAACATTTAAGCTGGGTAGAAGAACTACCGTACAGAAGAGACCCGGGGCTAATCTTTTTTTCAGAACTAAGAAGATAAAGTCAGAATTCTGACATTTTTTTCTTAGAAATCTGTAGAAAACGTTTCAAAATATAAATATATGTTGTTACTGTTGCCCTAATCCATACTAATGTGTGGGAAAGCTAAAAGAAATGGTGKGTCTCTGTTGATTCTGGCACCATATGGTGGATGAAGAGTTGACTGTTGAAAGCGTGGGGGCCGCAGGTGTTTTTGTTTTTTGTTTTGTTCAGGTTATAACCCTCAAAGGAAAATGGAMGTGAGATTTAAAGACCAAATGGTGAGTGCAGTGGGAGAAATTGACCTATCCTTTGTTTTGTATCATAATGTGATGTCAGAGTTGGTTTAATGTTGAGTTTAAATGTGAACAGATTAAAAACAGGAGCAATCAGACAAATATTCTCCACAACCATAAAGTGCAAACTGGACATTTTTGTCACTCACTGTCTACTATCATCTTTGCAAATATTCTGCTTGTCTTGTTTTAAAACATTTCCTAAAAAGTAAAAGTGTGTAGTTATTTAGGGACGTGGCCTGGGTTTGAACAAAGCTTGGCTTATTTTGATAGATTACAATGTTTTGGGGAAGTTTCTTACATTTCTGTTTGAGAACATTAATGTTTGCATTTGGACTTTCCAGACTGTCAGAAAATAGAACAACACCACTGTTAAGGTTCAGTTTTATTTACTATGTGGCTCAGTAGCTGTGTGCTACAATGGAGTATTAGGGCCACACAACAAGATTTATTTTTTTTATTATGAAATGGAAGTCASTTTTACCAGTAAATGTCACAATATTACATTATGACCATTTTCCGTTCCTGGGTTGGACAGCCTCAGTGAGYGTCACTGTATTTGATGAAGTAGTCCATGATGACATCACTGCTTCTGTCCACATTCACACTAAATCCATCAATGCAGCCATTAACTGCAGTGTCATACAGCTTTATCATATGAACCCACAGAGTTAAATAACATCAACAACAAAGTATAACTTCACAAGATGCTCAAAATTTATTTTAGCACAGTGGTGAAACTGCTTTTTCATGCAGGAGTTCTTGTTAAATTATTACTTTTGATAATATTTCAACTTCATTCTCATAGTATTTCAACTTTATTCTTGTGTGACTATTTTCACGTATTGTTTCAACCTTATTCTCATTATTCTCGTACGCCTTTCTTCGTGTATTATTTGGACTTTATTCTGGTAATATTTAGACTTTTATTCTCATGACGTTTCAGTCATTATTTCGCCTTATATTGGTACAATTTAATTAGCATAACTTCATGAATTTACTCTCATAATTTAAAATTAGAAAATGTATTGTGGCTCTAATCCTCTGTCGTAGTGTGCTGTAGCAGATTAGTCATCTTTTACTTTCCTCTCAGTAGTAGGTTTATAGATTTCTTTACAGTCTTTGCTCTTTGCTCTTTCTGTGTTTTTTTTTTTACACCAGGCCGTTGTGGTTTATTATCCAGGTCACACTTGCTTTGTTTCAGATGAACAGGTTGCATGTTTCGTCTCTTCACATGACTTTTTAAAATTATCTTAATCAAAGGTGTCAAAGTAGAAATACTTTTGGTTACCTGTACTTTACCAGATCAAATGTTTTTAAGATGACTTTTTACTACTCCTTACTGTACATTTAAAAAATGTAAAGAATATTTCATTTCTGTTTATTCAAAAAAAATGGAAAACAGAAAATCTATCCAGCTATATGGTGCCTCCTAGAGATAATGAATGTAACTGTTTGGATGAGAAGTGTAAATATATACCATTCTGACACCCTGTTGGTTTGTCTGATCCAACACACCTGTATGACACAAATCATGTCACGCTCCAGCAGGACATAGCAGACATATGTAGCCTAAAGTTGGGCGATATTGGTAAAAAAAAAAATTCACAATTGTATTTAGTCAATAATGTTTAATATGATGATTTATCCCCTAGAGTCCCTGGACACCTGCATGCCCTTGTTATATGACCAATTTAAATCACTCTAGTGAGAACGATTTGCTCTCTGTAAAAATCWGTTCCAAATTGTGTCAAAAGTACAGACTTTAGGCTATATGTAAATTTTTTAATTGTGTTGATTGACCAAGTAAAACCACAGTTAGTGGAGAGGAGCACCAGGCAGACTGACCAGAGTAATCCCCAGTCAGTCTGCCTGGTGGCATTAATCGTATTAATCGTCAAGTGCCAAAAAATAATCGATTAACATTTTTCTGACKRTTAATTGCGCACGATACGATTTTGCCCAAMCTTAATGTAGCCTAGTRTGAAGATGATTGTRGTAGAKACAKATGTACATATAAAGTTTATATGCATCTAAAACAGGTGGACTAGTGCAGTGGTTCCCTAAGCTGGGTTTGGGAGCCCAATGTGGGTCCTGAAACATCAAGGTCRGGTCTCTGAAAATGGCTACAAACAACATTTTTTGTGTCTGAATTGTTGTAGAAGAGTGAGGTTAATGCACTTAATAATGGATAAAAAATAGGATAATAAATATTGTTACCAAGCCCTGGTTTATTTGATGCCAATGTTTATCAACCAAAAATACCTGGAGTCAGGTCTCTTCTACTGTTATTTTGTGGGTGAAAAGCTAAAAGGTTTGGGAACCACTGCACTAGAGCAGTGGTTCCCAAACTTTTTATCTTCTGACCCACAAAATATTCATGGCAAAAACTTGTGACCCCAAATATTACTGGTCTGAGTACATGAACTTTATTAATAACCCTAAAAACACAGGCTTTTTGACAATCAAAACAGCTTATACACAATTATAAATACTTATTTATACTTTTTTTGTGTTTTTGTAATAGTTATAGGGAAAATATTACATCAGCAATTATTTTATTACCCTTTAAATTGAT